TGCTGGAAGGACTGATCTTGCTCGAGCTGTTTCTGCTTTGGGTGCTGCAGTTCCCTTGCCGGGATGAGCTCAGGGCTTGCAGCTCCTCCTCTGCCACTGCTGCCGTCACGGGGGGCAGCAACAACTGGAGAACTGGAAGATCCCTTAGTGACAGCCTTTGGGCAGAGCAGCCCACTTGAAGGACAGGTTGCCAGAGGCAGGGCCCAGTCCAGGAGCAGGAACAAGAGCTGCCTTGCCTGGCCTCTGGGAAAGACATTTGCCCAAGATCCTTATCCCGTGGGCACCTGGGCCTGCTGGGAACAGACTGTTAAACCCTGGGGTAGGCTGCTCCCATCTGAGCAAGGGCCATGTTACCAGGAGGTGTCTGGAGGAGCAGGGAGAGCTCGAGAAGGAACTGGATGGCTCTGAGTTCTTCCTGTTGTCACTGGAGAGGCTGGGCTGGTATCTCCCCGCTGCGGACTCACACCTGCTTTTGCTGTGCTTTGCTCACCTCCCTGCGTTCCTTCTTATTTTTCTCCTGGACATCAAGTATTTCAGGGCTCTTTCAGCACGGCATTCTGTCCTTACGCAGACTATTAAGCAAGCAATTCCCGGTGATGCTTCTAAGAATAAGGAACTGGGGCTGGGAAGCCCTTTGTTAACGCGGAGCGGCTGTCAGCAGAGCCCGGCAGTGAGATGAATGGGTTGCGCCAGGACTTTGCATCTCCTGCTTTGCAAGGCACAAAGCTTTGTTTAAGGCTGAGCAAGGCAGCTCATCATCTGTCTTGCTGGCTGTCAAACGGGAGCTAATGGCCTCGTAATGTGCAAGCGAACAGGCAAATCATTGGGAGGACCTGGAGCCTCGCGGCTGACCGGAGGTGTGATGCCCTCCAGCCTCTCCTTGCCTGTGTGGACCCCAGAACTCGCTGCTCTCCATGAGAACGCGCTTGAGTGTGTCCTCAGCTGCTCACCGAATCCCACGACACTGCTTAGCTTCATATTCGAACCGCTCCCTGCCAATGGCTTCCTCAAAGACAAGAAATTTTCTGCATCAGGCCTGTCGTTACTGCTGTTGCTGCCTCTTCAGGATAATTCCATACAGACAAGAGGCCCAGGCCTCCTCTCAGTGAGCACGACAGGGCCTGAGCAGTCCCCCCGGCCTGCTGCATGGATGCAGTACAGTGTCTGTGGGAAGGGGGAACGGGATGAGGAACGACCCTTAGGCCTGTGGCCGAAGCCCACCCGACCTGCTGCCCCCGCTTCTCTGTGCTTGTCTCTGTTAATGCGGAGGAGCTGAGAAGCAGCAGGCGGAGCCTCGGGAGGCTCCCGCTGTACAGTACAAACACGGTACCAAAGCGACAATTAAAGCCCCAGCGACGCTCCCAGGCGTCTGTGAGAGGCGCTGAGACCAGGTGGCTGATTAAAGGTGTGACTGCCGTCCGCATATGTCTCCCGCTTTGCGCACACAAACACAGATGCTCCTCTCCGCTCCCCCTTCCCTCCCCATCAAATCTGCTCCCTGCCACAGCCCGACAGCCAGCGCGGCGATGGAGGATGCTCGGGGAGAGAAGCGGCACTGAGCAGCGGCAGGAGCGAGGTGGCTTTGTGGGGAGCGAGGTGGATGCGTGGGGAAGAGCAGGAGGAGGCCAGGGTGAGTGAGGGGGCTGGACAGGGCGAGCAACCCTGTGCTGCAGAGGGTCCCTTCCAAGGCCCTGCCTCATCCTGGCATCTTCCACAGGGATCATCCGGAGCACAGGCCGTTCGCACTTGCTCTGTGAGCACTGCGCTGGCCCGCAGAACCAGGGCAGGGGCGATGTGGGGGCCTGGGCATGTCCCCGCGGGCAGCAAGGCCTGGAGGAGGGCAGCTCATGGAAGGTGTGACAGTTACCATCGCTCCCGCTTCCCGTTCCTGCTGTCTGTACGCTCGGCTCCTGCCTGGCTCCTGCCAGGAGCAGGTCCAGAACAGGGGCCTGCACATGCTGGCAGCTTCACCCAGAGGGACACGGGTCTCAGATTCCCCCCACAGCTCTGCGGATTGGTGCCAGGGTCCTGTTCTCACCAAGAGCAACCTCTCCTGCTGGCCCCAGTGTCACTGCGGGTGACAGGACTTGCTGTTTGTCCCTGTTCGCTAGTGATACCACACAACCCTGGCAAGACCCCAGACTCCTGCTCCACCTGCCCGCTCTGGTGTCTGCCGGGCACCTTATCCAGGCATGGTCATGTCTGAGTGCCACAGAATCACCTTTTCCAAGTGGAGTTCCCAAACCTGGGAGTCAAACAGCCTCCTTTTGGCACACCATCTCCATTCTGCCAGAGACAGGGCAATTTGCTGTGGTCAAAGCAACATGCAGGGTTTATGCACTGAGAAGCCACAAGCAAAATGCAGGGTTTATTGCGCTGAGAAGCCACAAGCTCAGTGCAGGGGACTGGGGCCGAAGGCTGCCGTCCTCGCCACTGCGGTAAGGACTGGGGGGAGCCCTCAGCCTTGCGCCCTGCCCTGCGGCGTGGCTGGGCCTCTCTGCGGGGACGCAGGAAGCTGAAAGGGATGCAGGGTGCTTGGAAGAAAGCAATGCAAAAGTGATGCAGATTTAGTGAGTTGAAGCAAGAACTTGAAGAGACTTGAAGAGGAGCTCCCAGCTCCTGGTTCCCAGCTCTCTGCTTCCTGCTCCCTGCTCCCGGCTCCCTGTACCCCTGAGGCTCTGATGCCTGCTGAAAAGGCCGCGCTGGCAACACAGCTTCGCTCATCAGAACCTGCGGGCTCTGCTCGGAGCTTTGGGACTCATGACTGGAGGAAGCACTTCCAGAGCAACCCACATCCTGCAGCCCTCACACGCATTTTCCAGGAGAGGCACAGACCCCCGGGGAGTATTTGAGCCACTGCTGCAGATGCAGATTGTTTTTCTTATTCACCTGCTTGGAGGAATCCTCGGTGGACCTTGGTCTTACTCAGTGGCTGGGGAACCGCAGCGCTTCTGTAAACCCGTTTGGAGCCCAGCTGCACCAAGACGGCCTCTGGGCCAGGGCCATGCTGCCCCCAGGGCTGGGGAGCCAGCACCGGCTCTTTGGGGATGAGATGGAAAAGCCTTCCTTCCCTCACTGGCTTTCCTGATGCCCAGGGCGAGCAGCTCTGTCCTTCATGGGGCTTTTGGAGACGAGAGGGCTGAGCAGCAGGAGCCCCCGCGCCTGTGTCCTGTTGGGCCAAGAGGCTGCTCTGCCGTGAGGCCGGGAACTGCCTCGTGGCAGCGCCCGCCCAGCTGATCCGAAACATCCAAACACCCACGGGAGGAGGCTGCCTTCGGCCTCTCCCGTTCTCCGGGGCACGGAGTCACTCCTGACTCATAGCCGAGGGAGAGGCCAGGCTTTTGTCCAGCGCTGGAATTAGTAATTGGAAGAGAAAGGCCTGTGTGGGATGCAAAATGCCCCCATGCAGCGTCAGCAGAGGCAGGCAGGGCCTGTGACGTTGTTAATGGCTCGGGGATAGCAGTGCATGAAGCTGCAGGGTGCTGGGGCTCACAGGGGATCGCTGGTGCCTTCGGATTTAGCCTGTGTCAGAGCTGTTTGGATCAGGGCCTGTGGTCCAAATGCCCCTGACGGGAGAAGGGCAAACACTAAGAGCTGCATCACGGGCATCTGTGTGGCAGCTGTGATTCAGCAGGTCTCCAAGGCAGGAAGGAGCTGGTGCCAGGCCTGCCAAGGGACAAGCTCCCCATGTCTCAGCCGCAGCGCACTTCCAAGGAAGGCTCATTCCAGGCAGCTGCAATGGAGGGGCAGCCCCAGGGCTGGGTGCAGCTCCGGTGATGCTGCCCTCTGTCCCGTTACCTTTTCAGCTCTGGCCTCAGGGGAGGGAAGGGACTGCAGCGAGAGAACTGTGAGCCCAGCACATGTCACTGCTCTGTCTCTGCACAGAGCTGGGCTAAGGCACTAAGGCACTAATGCAAGGGCTCCTCTTGATGAGGCCCCCATTGGCACGGCAGCACCTGGGCCTTGGTCCAGCGCCCAGGTACGCTTCCCCTTGGAGTCCTGCCTGCTCCTCTAGTGCTCAGCTCGGAGGAAGTCTCAGCAGACCCTGCTCGGACTGCTGGCCCCAGCAGCTCAGAGCCTCTGCTAGCTCTGCTGAGAGTCTGGAGGGGGCAGACTCACCCTGTCAGCCTTGTACCCCCCATATCTGGTCCCCCCAGGCCTGGTTCTGGGTGTCCTGCATTTTGGGGGAGGCTGCAGCAGAGTTCATGGTGAACCCCGATGCCTTGTGACTCCCCCGTCACTGAGCACAGGGACAGATGTCTTTTGTCCTACAGAGATCGAGATAAGCTCGGACCCTGGCTGGGGAAATGATGCAGGGCCCCTGGTACCCACTTTTGTTGCCAAGGATTTTGCAGAGAGGTCAAACCTGCCAGGTGTAGCCCGGACTTCGGCAATGACACTTTGATTTCTGGTTGAGAGAAGGAAGAGGAGGAGGAAGGTGGCAATGCGTGGCTGTCTCCATGGCTGCTTGGGCGCTCACCAAGGCTAGCAGCAGGGCAGACTGCCCATGCAAGATTCCCCCCGCACCATCAGCCCCACAGGACCCCAGCCCAGCTGGCAGAGACAGCAGTCAGTGCTCCCCATCCGGCCGGAGTCCCCAACGGGGTAAGGAGGATGTCCCTGAGACCCAGTCTTGGCTTGCCTGGGCCAAGAGACAGCTCTCCTGGCCTCCTGCAGGCTGCATTAACTGTGCAGGCCAGATGCTGTCTGCCATTTCAGCCCCTGCATCTGGAGAGGCAGAAGCACCCGTCCCGCCCGCGCACACCGATGCCCTCCTCTGCCAGTGCAGAATAAGCACAGAGACAACAGGATCTCCCTACGCAGCCACAAAATTCCTGGACATCTGTGGCTGGAGGTACCTCCTGCAGATGCGCGAGGACAGCCCCGTGCACGTTCAGCACCTTCCAGGCAATCTGCCTCCATCCAGCGGCCCCATCCGCGTGGCTCCGCCGGCCGCGTGCCCCTCGGTCCCGACCCGGTGCGCCCGCGCAGGCACTCACTGCTGCTGCTGGGCAGGGTCCTGCTGCCGCTGAGGCTGCCGGCGGGCGGCGGGGAGATGGAGCGCACGGAGCCCGTGTCCTCCTCCTGCGAGCAGCCGGCCTGGATGGCGCGGAGGTAGCTGTGGCTCCGGGAGCGGAAGTAGCTGGGCAGCGGCAGGTCCAGCACCTCCACGGCGGCTGATTCGGCCTCGCTGTACGTAGAGTCGCACACGGCCTCGTACTGCTCGCCCAGCTCTGGCTCTCCTGCCTGCACGGGAAGAGGGACAGCGCCAGTCACCCCCTGTGTGGAGCCAGGCCCCTTCCCTTCTCCTTCCCCTTGGGAATGGGCCTCCCTCCTCCTGGAGCTCTCCAGGGCTGCTGCTATCTGTGAGTGGGTTTTGGCGCTCAGTCGGCAGGACGGTGCGGTGCCACGGCGCATGCTGGCTGCAGAGCAGCACTTCTGGTTTCCCTGCCACGAGGAAGGGTGGAACGGGACCTCCTCCAAGGCAAGATCCTGCTTGTGGAGCAGGAGACACCACCACACTGCTGTGAAGCTCTCCTGTCTTTGATGGAAGGGAGCTTTGGAGCTTGCATGCACAGGACCCCGTCAGGTCACCTCCTGGGTAGGGGGGGCACGCTTAGCCCAGGGCTACCTGGACCTGTGCTGCGTTGTTGCTCTCAGGAATTCAACCCAGCCCAGTCCAGCCTGAGGGACCAGCTGGTGCTGGGTCAAAGCATGGTGTGTCCTGAGCAAGAGCAGCTCTGTGGCCTGCTTTGCTGCTACCCCAAGTTCTCCCTCCCCACCATGCCGCCCTGCTCTCTGGTGGCAGCAGCTCATGCAACTTCAGCTCAGGAGAGGCTCTCCAGCCAGCCTAGAACAGAGCGTTCGGAAATACAGATGCTGAGATTGGACCCATTGCCCACTGCCATCTCTCCTGGCCCGTTCTTAGGCCTCAAGAGCAGTATGCCTGGTGTTGGTGTCTACAGCCTTTTTCCAGTGGCCACAAGGTTTAGCTCAAAAAGCTCATTGGTTTCCACCCCAAGCTGATGCTCCCTAACCCCCTCCCAGGAATGGGGCAATTCCAGCTCTCTGGCTGCCTAGGATGCCTCGGGTTGGAGACCTTCCTGCTGCTCTTCCCCGTGGCTCCTGGGTGAAGGCTGAGCCCCCCGCCTGCCTGCGCACCCCAGGCAGGGCTCCGGGGGTTACCCAAGAAAGCTCTGTGAGGAAGAAGAGGGAAACACCAGCGGGACGGTACCTGCTCTCCATGGGTAAATATCTGAGGGATAAGTGAGGGGGGTCCAAAGATCTGGAAGAAAGAGTTGCAGAAGGTTAAAGGCCAAGAACAGGGGAGCCCCTCACACACACAGCCACTGCACAGGGACTGAGGACGATGGGTGCAGACGGCCCTTTCTTGGTGGCCACGACTGCTGACAGCTCAGTACAAACTTCTGAACTCGCAAGACGCCAAGCGAAGTGCTGGTGTGGCCTGGCAGCACGCAGGCTCCTTGGACAGCGGCACAGACACGGCACGGCACAGCCCCACGGGACGCCTCCGGAGCTCAGAGCAGGTGCTGGTGCATTCAGCCTGTTGTATGCACCGTATGGAACCGGATAGATACACAGGGCACACTTGGACTCTGACAGAGGGAACACAGTGCTGCAACACCCCTGGGCACGTGCAGGGTGTCCGTGCTTGTGGGACAAGGGCTGCTGTGGCTCCCACTCGGACCCAGCTGAGCTCCCAGCGCTGATCTGGCCAGCACCTCAGCTCCCTCCCTGCGGCACCGCAGGAGGTCAGTGGCGTGTCCAGAAGAAGCGGTGGATCCCCACAGGCTACCCGTGACACCTGAAGAGTGGAGGGGCATCTGGAGTGCTGCACTGCAGGAAATTTCACCTAGCCCTGCTGGGTGTTGGGCTGGCCAGCTCGCTGCTACCTCCCCTCTCAGCAGTCCAGGAAGAAGCCACATGGGAGTGATACTCCCTTCTCTCCACAGAAAAGCCAGAGCACTTGGCATTACAAGAGATGCTTGACAGACACTGTGGTGCCTGTGGGGCGAAATCCCTTTTCTTCCTCTCCAGTCAGTTCCTGCCATCCAAGTTCTGCAGAGCACATCCATCCTGTGAAGTTGTCACTACATGAGCTGCCCAAAATTATCCATCTTAAGAAGAACCCAGGTTCCAAATGTACTTAAGGTGACGGGGCTTGGGTGTGGGGCCTGCTTCATGCCCCTTCACAGAGAGGGGCAGCTCAAAGTGTGGATATATGATATTGGGGTCAGTGGATCATCTGTCAAGTTACTAGTTCCCTTGTTGTAAAAGGCAGATGCTGACATGCACAGCAGAACTCCAGATTTCCAGAAGTTTGCAAGGTGGAGCTTATTTGGCATAAAACCAAGTGGAGTGGACTTGTCTTGCAGAGCTGAAGATGCTCCTGTTTAGGACTCGGGGGTCTGCCTTGCTGGAGGTCACACAAAAGTGAGGGCAAGGGAGGAACGGCCTCCAGCGCTCACAGTGTCCAAGGACAGCTCCGAGCAAGACACAAGGTAGATGTAGGTCTGTCCTGAATCAGCAGAAGCATCTATGGAGGCTTCTAAATCCTGCTCTGGTTGCAGCTGGAGCCCTTGTTCTGGAGGTACCTGACCTAACATACTGCCTGCGTTACAGGGCTAGTACTCCACATCTGGAAGGCGGTGTTTGACTATGCAGCTCCTTGCACATCGCAGGCAGCTTAGACCCTTAGTCTCCAGGAGCCTCCTGATGTTTTTATTTGGGCTCAGCTGCTAGGTGGTAACTTTGGGCTGGGGGAGAGTGCAAATTCAGTGTGTCTATTGTCTCGCCCTCTTCTTGAGGAGGCCTGGCTTCAGACACAGGTTTACATGCAAAGCACAAGAGTACGATGGTCCTACCTCTTTCTCTGTGCAATGAAACATCCAGCACATTGTTGCTGATGTACAAAGAACGAGACTGACCACAAGGAACAAGTACAGCAATGCTCTGTGCCCTTCCCCAGAGCTCTCCGCAAGCAGCTCCAACCACACAAACGGGAGTAACAACAGGAGAAACCAACCTGCGTGTGGGAGCTGGAGAGGCCAGGCTGAGAGGAATGTGGACTCAGAGCCCCATGCATCCGTATGGGGGTACCAGGGCACAAATCTCACAGCTCCTCTATGCTCTAGTTCATGGTATCCAGCCCACCTCTTTAGGCATCGGTTCGTGTTGCCTTCCTTGCTCTTTAGACACTGGCAGTGTGTGGGGATGATGCTTTGGAGCACCTCGGAGCAGGGGATGTGTGTGCACACACTGCCACGGATACTCCCATGGGCAGAGATTTCGCATGGAACAGTCCCTGTCCCAGGGCTGAGATTAAGCAGACAGGACCTGTGCTCTCAGCAGCCCTGAGCTTTACCCATCCCTGTGAAGGTCTGTGCAGGGCTGCGATACCTGTAACCGTGGCTAGGGTGACCTCCGCTGCACCAGCAGAGCTGAGAGGAAGCAAAATCTACAGCAAGAGGGGTCCAATATGGACCGGAATTAAGGAGCTGACCCTGTGGCTTTGGCAAAGCCGCCAGAGACTAGCTTGCCCATTACTGGAGTGCAGCCAGGGCCTTATTTTGTAGGGGGAGAGAAATGTTCCTGTGTCCCCTTAGCCAGCCCCCTTCATCTTTTGAGGTTGGCTGCGCTGGTGCTGCTGGGTCCAGCTTTCCAGCATCTCACCTGGCTGATGCAAGCGGACTCATTGACGCTGTCGGAGATCTGGTTGTATTCTTCCTCCCAGGTTGGGAACTTTGGAGGTAGGAGGATCTCGACAGAGTCCAGACGGTCCAGACTCCTGCCAGGAGAGAGAGAAGGGAGTGAGGAAGCACGTGCATAGCGCGGGCAGCACTGGGGCTGTGCATTTGTATGCTACGGGCCAGCTGGGCCACACCACCCTGTCCAATGGCACCATCTGGAAGGTACGAGTCAGTGCCAAAGTTGGGCATTGATTTCATGGCCTGGCCCTCTTGGGAGCTCCTGGAATAGAAGGAAGGACTTTTCCACCTTGCCAGCCCGTGGTTTGGACTCTGATCTGGCATACCGTTGGAGGGTTTGTTGAGCAAAAGAGGAGGAGAAGGGACAGGACCTTGGACCTCACTGTGAGGAACGCACTGCAGGTGCCCAGTTAGTCCAGCCTAATCCCAGGGAGCACAGAGCATCTGTGCCAACCCTCGTGGCCACTCCAGCACAGGCTTATGTTGGGTGCTGAATTCAAAGGTGCCAGATCTTCCCCACTCAAACTGGCTGGAAGGGGTGGCACGTGGGATGGGAAAAGGCTTTTCAATTATATTTTTGTGGACATTTGATCTGAAAATACCCACAGGACTTTATTATTATTATTATTAGTAGTAGTAGTAGTAGTAGCAGTAGTAGTAGTAGTGGTAGTATAGAAAAACACAAGAGATTGTCAGGAAGAGGGTCAAGAGAAACTGATGCTGAGCAGTGGCTTTGCAGGAGCAGGGAGGTTCAGTATATTCTGAACATGTTTCTCTGCAGACTCAGGGGAGACACTGTCCTGGGTGCCTCCCTATGGCAGGAGGAGAGTCTCGGACCCGGCTCTGTCCTCTGCTGAGAGCCGGGCAGGATGCAGGAAGGATGGGAGAGCCATGGGGTGGATGGGACTCAGTGCCACTACGACACTCTGTGTGTGGCTGAGGGAGCCTTCGTCACAGGTCAGGGGTGTGTGGGACAACCTGCCACCTTGAGCACACACCCTGCCTGAGTTCCTGGGCATGCTGCATGCAGGGTAGGTAACATGTTTAGCCATGCCAGGCTGGGTTAGCTGCTGGGGACCTCCCTTGGGAGTTGAGTGCTAACAGAGCACTGTTGGGGGTGAACAGTCCCTCTTTGTTTGGAAATGTCATGGGGTGCAGGATGTCTGTCCTTCATCAGCCTGGGCTGGTCTATGTGCTGGGGGGACTCCCCTTGCCTCCGCATCCTCCCCCAGCTTGAGCAGCCCGTCCGGTCACTGGTGGTGACAATGCCATGCAATGGCAGCATGGCAGCTGTTCCCAGGAGCGGGGTTGTGTCCCCCCTGCTCAGCCAGAGCATGGCCAGCGAGAGCCACAGATCTGCAGAGCACCATGGCCTGCAGCAGAGATGGCCGGGCTGGGGTGCTGAGGACAGCGCAGCTGGGGTGCTGTGGCACTTCCTGTGTCTTCTGGGCCATGAAGACCACTATCCCAAGAGCGGGGAGCAACCTCTTCGATGGAGGAGACACCTGGTCCCCAGGAGACCTGGTGCTGAGCCTGACCACCCAGCAAGGGGCCACTTCATGCCGTGGACCATGGACTATCCTTTGAGTGTGTCACTCCCCTTCGCTTGAGAGGGTCTCATCCATGAGCGCCTCATGGTGCCAGCCAGGCACGTGCTGGGGCAGGCAGTGTCCGGGGCAGGCTTCACACTCTTGCCTGCTGGACTACACCCAGTGCTTTAGCTTCATGGCCTGGCTGCGGGGAAATGGAGCCAGAAAACAGGATACAGCTTTGCCTGAAAGGGCAGAGATCCTGTCGGGGGGTAGGACCCAGTGGTGCCCGGGGATCCTGTCTCACTCCTCTGCACCTGGGCAAGACTGCAGTGCTCTTTCTCTTGGAAGTCCCACCTGTCTTGAGCTACAGATCCAGTGTCTCTCAGCTGGTGGAGATGGGGATGAGGTTTGCAGCGCCTGCTGAGGGGAGCTGGTTTCATGTGCTGGTTGTGCAGCGCTGCGGTGAGCACCTGCGCAGCAAGGACTGTAGATGGAGCTGCCGGTGCTTCCCCGCCAGCCCTGTGCGGGCTGCCTGTCCCACCGGTGTGAGAGCCTGAGGGGGACCCCCAAACCAGCCACATCATCCAGAGAGGGATGCGAGGGAGGAAGGAAGCTGGGGGGTGGTCGGCAGATGGCAGCCGAGCTCACGCTCTGGCATGGGACTGCCGGGATCCGTCCTGTGCCAGGTACAGCGCTGGAAATGCTCGGCACATGCCCAGTGCAAAGACCTCGCCACTCTACAGCTGAGGCCCAGAGGACAAGCAAACTGGGGCATTTGGCTTCGCTCACAGGATTAGAGAGCAGGAGCTGACAGGAATTCTCCATTTCCCAGAACAAGATCACTCCTTCCAGCGAATCTCTTCCTAAGGCCTGTGAGCTCTCTGAGATGGGCACTCCTGAATCATTCCCTGAACAACTGGTCATTCCCCACGTAACTGGGGTGCCGCTGGCTCTGCCCTCTCTGCCAGCTGCGCTGCTCCAGCTCTTTGCTCAAAGCTGCCTGGCTGTGAACACCGTCCGGAATCCACAGCAGGCTAGAGGAGGGAGAGATTCACACCCTGGTGGAAGTTATCTCAACAGACAATGAGCCCAGGCAGGAATGGTCTGACTCTCCCAATCCGGGCATCTCTAAGCTCTCAGTATTTTACATGAGGGACCCTTGGATCCAACTCTTCTTCCTCTCAAATGTGTGTGAAAGCAGGAAACAGGACTGGACTCAGAGCAATCATTTCCTGGGCTCCCTGCAGTTAATTTTGCTTCTGATCTGAAAAAGGCATCTCACCAGCAGTCTGATGCCACCCTGAAGGGATTCCACATTGCCTGCTGTTCCCTCGCTTCTCTCTGGATGTATTTGCTGAATCATGAGCAGTTCACTCCTATAGTTGCCCCTGCCTCCTGCTGTCCTTCACGCCCTCACCTGAGCCCCAGCACTCCCCGTTTCAGTCACAACCTGTTATAGCCCCTCGCTACCTTCTCCCAGGCAGCAGGTAGGCAGCGAGGAGACGAGGTGGCTGGCGTGTGTGTTCACCAGCTATGTACAGCACATCCCCTCAATTCACGGGTTTCATAGGGACCTTGTGCTGCAAGAACCCAGCCCCTTGCCCAGCACACACATTTGTTGTGCACCCTTTGCCCCTCCTATCTACATCAAACCAGCTTGAATCTTCCTCCCTGGACACCTGGTCTTAGGCCTTTCAGCTTGTCTCTCCTGGTTGCAAGACACCACTCAGTCTAATCTGCCCATCAGGCACCACCTTCTGGCTGGTCCCGGGAGTTCTTGGGGACGTGAAAGAGCAAAGCAGGCCGCGAAGTCCCAGCTGCCTGTGCTCTGCGCACCAGCTGCGTTCAGTCATGCTGCGGAGCACCTTCCATGTCTAAACAGCATCACTGGGGGGGCATCTCTGCTTCCTAGGAGGAGCAGGTCCTTAGCTAGGGAAAATCCACACAGTTTCACCAAGGAAGTGCTCTGTGACTTTACTGCCTGCTGCTGAGGGAACAGGAACCTGGAAGAGGCTCTTTAGCACCGGGGCTGTTTCAGAGTCACCAGGGCCAGAGTGCTGGTCCATTCCTCTACCACATCATCTGGCGCCTGCCCCGCGGCTGTCTGAGCTGGCGCGGAGCTCTGCTGGGCTCTGAGCCCCGTGCTGGGTCCCCCTGTGGCTGCTGCTGGCCAACCCCCTGGGTCTGCTCCTGGGGTCGCCCTGGGCAGCCCGTGCTGAGCTCCCATGAGCCCCGGCGTTACCTTTGGGTGGTGCTCTGCTCACTCAGGGACTGTTGTGTGGCCTTGAGGTAACTCTGCCTCCGAGCTGCAGTTTTCGGGGATGGTTTGGGGCTGGTTTCTGAATCTTCACTATCGTCATCCCCCATGGCTTTGATGTAGCTCCCGCTCCGCATGCGCCGGCACGGGATCTCGCTGTCTTTGTCCCGAGACAGCGTGTTGTTCCACTCCCCCTGAGGCACCTGCAAGAGCAAGGGAGCATGCACAGGTATGAGGGAAGGTGCCTCTGAGATCAGGGGGACCACAGGGGCTTGGTGACAAAGCTGACCCTCAGCTGGAGCAGAATGGGAATGGGCAAAGCAATTCCTTTCTGACCCTCCCTTGACAGCTCATGCCAGGAAGCCTCATGTCTGATTGCCTCAATTTTAGCACATCTACCCACAACCATTAGTCCAACCACAACTGCAGACCAGCCTTAAATGGACCATGCTTACACAGTTGATTTAAGATGAACAGTGCCAGACATAGAGAGAAGGGAAGAGCCTCACCAGTTTCGTGCTGGGCGTCGGGACAGGAGCGGCACACTCTTGCTTGATGCAAAGCCCATGCTCATGTAATGGGAAGGGCACACATTGTTCAGACCAAGGCCAACAACAGATGTCACACACTAGGACCTGTGGCTGGCTAGCCAGAATCCAGCCCTTCACTAGGTCCTTCGTGAGCTGTCTGAGTTGAAGGTGACTATTGGCAACTCTAGGTGATTTTTGAAGACAAGCTGTCACAGCCCCTCTGGAGCAGCTGGGGTACATAAAGCTTGCACTGGTATCTCTATACAGAGTTGAGTAGTTTTCCTTACATAAGGAAAACATTTCCGATTTCATTTATACAAGGACTCTGCCACTAACTTAAGGCAGAAATGGTCCCTGTTCCCTTACTAGAGATGGGTAAGCTGGTATTTCCCACAAGAGATGTGAAACACAGAGCAAACCAAGTGACTGACATTATTCCAGTGACTGTCCCCACTTGTGAAGGGTTTATAGAGCTGACAGAGGGCACAGTCAAGCAGTCGGCCAGGAGAACCAGACACCAGCACAGGACCGACCAGGACCAGAACCACATATGGTATGGGATAGGTCAGGAGAGACACGGGATAACCTAAATCGGCCAGGAGAAACTCCTGCTCTTGTGGCTAGCTCAGTTTGTAGCAGAGTAGAGTTGGTTGTAACCAACCCTCGAAATGAATAAATGTGGAGAAGAAGGAGCAAGTGATATTTGTCAGGACAAAATCAATCTCTTCTAGTGTTTCCTAAGAGGTTCCCCGCTCAAAGGTCTGTCCTACCGTTTTAGACATCCAAAGCATGTAACGGTGTGGTCTGGCTTTGTGAGAGAAGGGCAAGCAAGTGGGTCACTAGCTGCTGCTCAGCCCTGGCAAAGCCACTGGATGCATCTGAGCTTCCATTCCCAGCCTGGGTGCCACTGCCCTCTGTTTGCCCTGTCTCTCTGGGCAGCCAGGAGCTGCTGGGCCTGTGGGCATGTACTACACCTGGAGCAACACGGCTGCACAGGCTGCAGGCACTGCTGCACTCTATGGAGGAGCGGGAAAGCTGCAGATGCTGAGTTTGGATCTCTGCTCTGGCTTACAGACATGCACAGACCACAAGAGCCCCAAGGCCCTCAGCTCTGGCTGGGGACCGCTGCGTAGTGAGGAGTCCTGCACTGAGAGCAGCTCTTTCCGTCAGGAGCATCCACGTCTACTCTGCTGGAAGGAGCTGCTGGATTTACCCAGCTCCCTGGGAGCCATGCAATTAATCAGCCAGTGTTTATATAGTGCTCTGGGAATGTAAAGAGATGTGTTGCAGTTAACTGTTATTAGCCAGAACAGTTAAGCAGAGCTTACTTCCTGCCCACCCTTCTTGTGTGCAGCAGACCTGTTTTGTGGGAGATGGAGCGGGGTTGAAGGCCCAACGTGCTGCTGCTCCTGGGGTGGCAGGTAGCATCTTCCCAATGCCGTGGGGAGGGAGAGCGCTGACTGAATCCATGCACAGTAGTTCAGCTCACAACAAGGGCTTTCTGTTGCCCAAGGGAGCTAGAGGTTCCCCCTTGCTCGCCCTGCCTGCTGCTCGCTGTGTCTGTTGGGAAGACAAGGGGTGACCCCAGTGCCGTGTAGCCTGACAGGACACTTGGGTGATGGGGCTCCCACCATGACATCCCCCGTTCAGCCAAGAGCAGTGCGCTGAGGGCACAAAGCAGAGAACCGCAGGCATCATGTTGCTGGTGTGCAGTGAATGCTGCATGGGAGACACAGACTTTGCCTGGCCTCCTTTCCTCTGCTCTTGCAGGTTTTCTCAGCTCCTTCCCCTTCTGGCCCTTGCAAGGTCATGCCTGGCCATGGCCTCTGCGCTGGCTCCTTGCAAGACAGTGAGTCTGCCCAAGTAAGGATCTACTGTGTGTAATCTTGCAGGCTCTTGGGTGAAATCTTGCAGGCATTTGCAAAGCAAGAGTGGAGTGTCCTTTCTCTTGCTGTGTGAGCCCTCTCTGCCCCCAGCCCAGCTACACACACTGAAGACTCCCATGGGCCATCTAGAAGGGACCACGCTGGCTCCAAGCGAGCCTGCTCCCCAGTGCAGCCCTTGCCACAGGAGAGAGCTCTCCGTCACCTGTATGTCTTTGGGGTGGCTGGTTCTGACTTTTCCTAAGAAAGAGGCAGGAGCCTTTGTAAGCGCTTTTATACTGGCCGCCTTGGAGTCACATCTGGCTGGATATTGGATTCTGCTGCCTGCCTTCTCCTAGGAGTGTGTAGTAGCCTCCCTCCAGCAAGTCAAGAATGCCATTTCACCAGGGTCCCAGCAGCCGGGGAGTTCCAAGCCAGGCAAAGGTGAGAGGGACATGGCCATGATGCTGAGACCAGTCCAGCTTTTCCCATTCCTCCAGAGAGCCTGAAGACAGAGGCATCATTAAAACCTTGAGCTTTTGTGGTTACTCTGGTTCTGCTGCTTAAGGGTGGTGTCTGTGTCTAGATCAGCTCAGCAAAACCTAGGCTTGGCCTTTGTCACTCTTGACTCTGGGCAAAGTGTCACCAAAGCTGGTGGTTTCAGTATACCTTTTCCAGTGCTGCTTGTCTACAGCAGCGTGAGCCAAGCATCCCGTAGCATTGCCTGTCCCATATAGACTCAATACAAAGCCCTTGGGACCTGGGTTCCCAAGGGCGTTCCTGGGTGGAGTGTAGGAACAGCCTCCAACAGCTTTCCTGCCGCACTGCGACAGTCCTCTGATCCTAACCGGGCTGCCTGGCTTCCCCTTTCTGTCACCTCTCCTCCACTTTGCACCCTGGAAAGGCAGTGATGCTGATGCTAGTAGCAAAGTTGCCCTCAAGGTGTTCCACATTCCATTTTAACAGCATCAAGGGCAAAAAGATCCTTGGCAGGAAACTCGTTAAATCTGGTGTCCCAGTTCTCAGCAGCATCCTGGGCTGAGTTGCCAGTTGGCAGAAAGAGCCCACAGAGACTCCCAAAGCTCCTGCTCCATGTGGCCCAAGGCACAGGATCAGTGTCTCAAAGGTGCTGTACCTGAAGGACAAGCACTTCTAAAGCAGTGCCAATTCCTCAGGCGCTCGTCAGGATCCTTCTGGGTACTTCTTTGCATCTTCAGGCACCTGAGGAACCTATCCCCTTGTCTCTAAAGCTCTGCTGTACAGGTGAAGAGTCCAGAGCACACACTGCTATCAAGAGACAGACCTCAGCAGTGGCCAAGGCAGCACCTCGATAGCAGCACCCTTCATGGCAGCTGAGACTCTGGGCACTGAACCCATGTCGTGCATTAAAGAAAGGACAAAATGGCGATGAGAGCTGCCATGCGTTGCATATGGGCCTTGCACAGAGAAGCTCCAGAGGTTCTTTACAGGAAACGGGAGCCTTACTGAATTTCCTGCAGCTTTCCCAAATGTAGGCTTGATTAGGCACATACATGGTGGTTTTGTTGGTGTGAAAAGGGTGGGAATAAGAGAAATGCCGGGAACAGAGCTCCCATGAAGGATGTGAGCAGATCCCAGGCCCATCTGCAGAGCTCTTGCAGATGCAGAGGCAGCTGTGCACATTGCCCCTCTGCCTCCTGCCTAGGCCACATGGTGCTTCTTGGTGCAGGCATGCGGGATCCAAACATGTGTCCATTCATCCCTGGGAACTGGGATCCACTGGCACCATCCTGCACAGTACCGCACTTTGCAGGGAAGTGGTGATTTCTGGCTCTTTTGCCCTCAGCTTCATGAGCCAAGTGTGGAGAAGAAAGCAGAGGGTTCCCCCTACCCTAAGCTTGCTTGGGGCATTTTCAAACAGACAGACTCTTAAGAGGGAAGAGCAGTGAAAGGGGAAAATCCACCTCCTGGGCCGTAGGCCAGGATGGAAGAGTTGTGCTGTTTCCCCTTGTTTAGTTGATGTTCAGGAGGAGAGAGACAGCCAAAACAAACGGTTTCCATTTGCATGTGTGCCGGCTCCAACATGCAGCCCATCCCCAGCACACATGGACATGCACCCAGACAGGAACGCACCCGTGAAGGCACACACAGAGCTGGACACAGAACGCAGGGATGTGTGTGCCATGCAGCCGGACTCCGATACACGGATATTGAGCTTAACGAGGGTACCCTGCCACTCTGTTCAGGGCCGGATCCCGCATGGGGTCCATATACAGCTATGTGGCCTCAGCCCTCTCCTCCAAGAAAGTGGGAGCCTTGCATGCCAATCGGCCTAATCCACCCTTTTGGAAAGGGACCCTCTGAGAAGGGCCTGGATCAGCTTTCCTGCCCTGTGGGTTGGTGAGAGTAGCCAGGATCTACGGAGTGGCTGGCATGGAATGGGCTGCCTACCTGGGCTGATGAATGCATATTTGGAGCTACTGGGGCTTAAAGAGGCTTCAGTATCTTCTGACTGTGAGAGAGCCCTGGAAGGCTGAGCTGGTGATGGTACAGGATAACAGTGCTCATGGTGTGACCCTGTCACCTGGAAAGTCATTGCTGTCCCAGTGAAGGCAGGACCCTTCGTGGCCCCTCAGCCTCCATACGGCCCAGAGCAACTGGAATTCTGCCTTGCTGCTTATTCTGGGAGGTGATTAGGAGAGGGAAATAACATGGGCAAGGCCAGACCGCTGCACGGTATCTCTTCACGTACGCCTGCAGCACTAAGGGGTGCAGCACTGCCTGGGTAGCCTGGGGTTTTGCCTCCCTTGCTACGCAGCATTCACATGTAAAGCAGCCTGCCCGGAGCTGGGAGGACTGTTCATCCCTTCAGGGCTATCTTGGTGCCCACACGACGTGGGTCTGAAGGCAGTGCAGAACACAACAATGCTCCTGGGCCCTGTCAGTTCCTGTTTAGCCCTGCTTGGCACTTGTCCTGCTCTGGGCATCTCTCACTTCAGGCAGCTTTTTGGATATTGGGAGCCATCCCTCTCAGTCTCTTAGCTTCCACCACACATAGAGTCCTCCTGAAGCAGAGGAGAGAAGAAGGAAGAAGAAACAAGGCCTCCATCCCTTGAGGGCTCTTCTCCAGCTCTCTCCAAGGACAGTGGCACAGCCTCGAGGACTGCTCCAGAGAAACCCCCCACACAAGGTAGAACCCAGAGAGGAGCTGAGTGATCACCCACTCTCAGCCCCAATGTCTCAATCTGGAAATGGGCCTCTAGGAGCCTTCCTCTCGGGAAGAAGTGACAGAGGAGCAGGTAGCAAGGGCCACATGGCTTTGTAAGCGGGACTTTCCCACACACGTCCCTCCAGGCTCTGAGTGACATCTCCATCACTGGCTGGGGCCTTTCCCAGGCTGAGGATGGATCTGGATGCAACAGCCTCATTCTGCCCACAGGACCCTGGTGCTCCTGGCCCTGTGCCTTGTCCTCGGGGGGTCACACTAGGCATTTGGGTGTAAGTCAGCCTGAGCTGACTTGTAGGGCACATACACCACAGATGTGGACTCAGGGTCCTGGTGCTTGTCTGGCTTTGCTGGTGGGGCACTGCAAGACACGGGAGCCGGCCCAGGTCCTTGAGACACCATCACACCCTCTGGCATCCCCCAGGTTCCCCTCAAGCCATGCAGGGCGCAGGCCACAGGCTCACCCCTACCTGGACAGTTTCTGCTCTGAGTTTTGTGGCACAGGACCCTGCTTGACGGTCCGGGGAGGGTCAGGGAGAGGAGGTACCTGGGCAAAAGCTTCCTCCCAAAGTCAGATCCCTACCTGGCCGCTGCCTGCGTCGGTTGGCCCAGGGCTGAGGGGCTGTTCCCAGCTCGGCGGGAGCTCGCTCGGCTGCGGCGCCACGGTCCGGCTGCCGAGAAACGGAGGCTCATTACATGGGTTGGGAATGAACGAGCAGGGCAGGCTCGTACCCCTGCACTGGCCAAGTCCCCGGAGGCTGGAGAGCACCGAGCGAGAGGCTGAGGGGCTTGTGGCGCCCATGGCCGCTGCTACTGGGCTGTTTGCCACAGAGCGTGGATGGTACCGCTGGAGATTTTGTCACCAGCCCTTTAATCTCATAACATTTAGCTGAAAGAAGGGCAAAGAAAAAGAAACCAGGCCAAGAACCTTTTGCTGATGACTTTCCTGATGCAATAAGTCCCTCCATAATTTGATTTGCAGAAGGGGCCAGCAAGATATTGGAAGCAGAGTGTGCTTCAATAATTCATTGCTCTTTAAAGCCTTCAAGCCCGCTGGCCACAGCCAGGGGAACCGGTGCCACCTTTGCATTAAAAAAACAGATGTTTGAAATTAACATACATAGCCCATCTGATTATTCACCCCCCTGCCTCCCCCAATCCAGGCCTGGCTTATTTATCTTCATTCCTCTCTCTAGGGCACAACCAGCTTTATGGTCTTCCAGGGATGCTTTCTGAAACGACCAGGCTTCGAGGTGACCTGGCACTATGAGGGCAGGGGATTCCAACCTGTGGCACCCCGCACTAGCCATGCAGGCCTCTGCCATGCAAGCTGGGCAGCTGGTGTTGCTCTCCTCACCCCGCCACCGTGTCCCTGCGCGTGGGGCGAGCCAGCAAACGGAGCCGTGCCCTGCCGAGCTGCTGTTCCTACCAGCACTCCCGGGAAGCTGTGCAGAGCGGGGCTTACTGGGCACGCTGGCACATCCTTGCGACGCGTGGATATAAGGGGTTAAGCATCAGTTATTATAAGGGGTTAAGCATCAGTTATTATTGGTGTATTATGGTGGAATGGCTGCAGCGTCTGGCCAGAGGCCAGGAGCCTTCCTGCCAGGGTGGGACCCCAGCCACAGCCCCTTGGTGCAGGTAACTGCCTAAGGGGGAGCAGAACTGGCTGTGTGCATGGAGCAGTCAGGCTGCCTAAGATCTGCCTTGGCATCTGCAGGATGTGGGTGGGCAGTGAGCGTGTGCTCAGGGCACAGGGCTTCCCCGGTGAATGAGGGTCACAAAAGAGGATGCTGGGGCCATGGTGCTGTGGGGAATGTGTGCCCATGGCCACGGTAAATCCTCCTCATGCTTCCATATCCAGCGGCAGAGGCTGAGCGGGCCCTGGGGAGGCATCGCAGCTGAGCGAGCCGGATCCCGTCAGCACCACTGCCGGGTCCCCATGGGAGGTGACACTGCACAGCTGGGGCCTGGGAAGAACTTAAACCTCCTCCGAGGCTCCACAGCCCTTTCCTAGCAATGTGGAGCCATGGAGCGGCTTGGGCTGTGCTGAGAGGGGACTGGGATAACTCAAGCATAAAGGTCTGGAGCAGAGGAGCTGCTTGATAAAGTCTATCACCTGCCTAACAGAAGAATATTACCCACCTCCTCCCAAGCCTACAGTCCCCCCATGGGTAGAAAGCCAAGACCCCCGACTCTGCACCCACCTGCAGGTAGTGGTAGGCCAAGTCTTGATGGCAGGACTTGGATTTCAGCAAGGCTTTGTCGATCGTGGCTGAGGCCTTCTGGCACATTTCCCGGGCATGGCTGAGTGTCAGGGTAGACCAGGACCCCCTCTTGATGTAGTTGGACTCATTGTTGATGGGGATATTGGTGCAAGGGGTGACCTTGAGGTCGTTATTGCTCTTGGAGGATTTCAGCATGTGCTCGCTGATGGTGTTGTAAGCATGCATGAAGTACTTGGGCTGGCTGTGATCTGGCTGCCGGCCCAGTGTCATGAGACCCATTGGGTTGCGGTAGCTGCAGGTATCAGTGTCTAAGTTGTCATCTGAACTCCACCAACCTGATATGTTGGATCTTGTTCTACGCTTGGGCTCAGAGGTCTTTGCCCGATCTTTGCTCTTGCTCCTCCGATTCTGCTTGGGGTCATCAGCCCCTTTCTTTCCATTCACGTTGCCTTTGGTGGGGCCCTCCAGAGACTGAGATTTGGCAAATAGCTTCTGGACAGAGTGGACAAGGTGTCGGATCCGCCCTGGGCTCTCACTCCGGTGCTTTGCATCGCTCCTCTGAAACTGGAGGGTGCTGAAGCCATCTCTGTGGATGGGCAGCTGCTTCTCAAACTGGTCAAGAAGATTTGCAGGCAGGCGGTTTATCTTAGTGGCTTGGGCATGGCTCGGAAAAGGGTTGTCATCTGGGACCTCAAAGTGGGAGTTGTAATGGATGCGGGGGAAAGTGCTGCTGTTGGAGATCTGGTTGTTAAGTGGAAGGAGGCAGTCACCGTGGAGGGTGTTCTGGGCTGGGAACCGGGGATCCATGGTGTAGGAGTCCGTGGGGCTGAGGAGATAAGGATTCCTGTCCTGAGGGGCATAAAGAGAGTCCTGAGGGGAGTCCAGATTATCGGAGAGGTGGCGGCTTCTGTTATCTCCTAAGCCCTTCATGGTCCCGGGGCTCCCTAGAGCATTGTTCGGGGATGGTGTGGCAGAGCCTTTGCACGCGTGCTGACTCTGCTCCCCCAGAGGCTGCTCTGCACCTGGAAGGAGAGGAGAGATGCTCAGAGAATGGCAAAAAAGCTGTCACTGATGCTCTCTGAGAGCCACTCCTCACTGGGAGCTCTCCTGCAAGGACTGTCCCATCTCTAAAAGCAGATATCCCCAAAGTCAAGAGACAGGAGAGAAATCACGCAACGAGAGGAGAGAAGAAGCAGCATGATAACCAGTGACAGGAGGAAAACAGTGAGCAGAGGATGCAGAAGGAGAGTCGATGGAGAAGGATTCATTCTTTATAGCAGCATCTTAAGTGCTTGTGTGCTCCAGTGCTCTACCACAAGCTGCTTAAGTAAGGATGCTGTGTCTATTTTTCTGGCCTCTGCACATGTTTATTTTATAGAGTCCCTTCCTCAGCCCGTGTAACAAGGTCTAGCAAGGATACTGCCAGCAAATCACCACTCCCGTCCCATTTGCTCAGGGGGCTAGAGAAAAACCTGCTGTCATATGCGGCATGCAGGCCTTGTCTGAGCCAAGGGAAATGAGGAGCCGGGCATCCGGCCTCCTACATCAGGATTTGTGTTTCTGTGGTTACTGGATCTCTAAAGGCAACTGGCAGCCCTGCTCTGAGTGTTGCATAGAGCTGTGTTAATGCGATATGATGGCAAATGTCTCCCCTACGACAAGCATCTGCCTTTATGACATACTTTACTCGAGGGGAAAATGCTCCTGCACCTGTGACGAGAGGGAGAAGTGTTTCTGAGCACTCAGAGCCTGACCCGAGAAGCTGTTTGCTGCTCAGCTGATCTTTCCTGCCTTGCTGCATCACTCCTGAGTGGGATGTGACACCCTCCAAGCCTCACCCTACGTCCCCTGCTTCGATCCGCTCTGCCACAGCGACAGGCTGATCATCAACAAGCCAATCGGAGGGCACAGACACCCCTGTGGGACAGCGGGGGAGACTGCCACACATGGGTGGCCTGGCTGCCACTAATCCTTTCAGAAGAGGGGTGCTCCACATTGAAGGTTTCGTGGGTGCACTGACCCCATCCCACTTGGCTCAGAGGGAACCTCATCTGCACTGGCTTATACAGAAAAAAAGACAAACTTTTGGAATTGCTTTTAGTTTTACATAGGTTGGTTTTTACAGAAGCACAGAATGACTCTGTCTGCCTCCTCTTTACAGCCTTCCTTCAGATATTTGTATACACTGCTAAGGTCTTCCCTGCATATTCTCTTCTCCAGGCTGAATATCCCAGCTCTCTCAGCCTTTCCTCAAAGGAGAAGGATCCAGGTCCTTAATCGTCTTAGCAGTTCTCTGCTGGACTCACTCCAGTAGATCCATGTCTTTCTTGTCCTGGAGAGTCCAGATTTGGACACAGTACTCCTGGTGAGGTTTCACCAGGGCTGAGTACAGGAGCAGGATCACCTCCCTTGACCTGCTGGCGATGCTCTTCTGAATGTGCTCCAGGATCCCATTGGCCTCCTTGGCCACAAGGACACATTCCTGGCTCAAGACCAACTTGTCCACTATGACCCCAGCTCCTTCCCTGCAGAGCTGCTCTCCAGCAGGTCAGTCCCCAGCCTGTCCTGGTGCCGGGGGTTCTTCCTCCCCAGGTGCAGGGCCCTGCACTTGCCCTTGTTGAGCTCCATGAGGTTCCTCTCTGCCCAGCTCTCCAGCCTCGCCAGGTCCCTCTGAATGGCAGCGCAGCCCATGGGGTATCGGCCACTCCTCCAGCTTGGTACCATCAGCAAATGTGTTGAGGGGGCACTCTGTGCCTTCATCCAGGTTGTTGAGGAAGAGGTTGAACAGGATTGGAGCCAGTCCTGGCTCCTGGGACACACCGTTAGCCACAGGCCTTCAACTAGACTTTGTCCCACTGAGCCCACTGTCACAGCCCTCTGAGCTCTGCCATGCAGCCAGTTCTCAACCCACCTCACTGTCCACTCATCTGTCCCACACTTCCTGGGCTTCCCTATGAGGATGTTATACTATGTCAAAAGCCTTATTGACATTAGGGTAGACAAACATCCACTGCTCTTCTCTCATCTACCCAGACAGTCATTTCATCACAGAAGCTTATCAGATTCGTTAAGCACGATTTCTGCTTTGTGAATCCATGTTGACTACTCCCAATCACCTTCTTTTCCTCCACATGCTTAGAGATGACAGAATGATCTGCACCTTTCCGGGAATGGAGCTGCAGATAACTGAGCTGTATTTCCCTGGGTTCTCCTTCTTGCTATTTTTGAAGGTTGGAATGACATTGGCCTCAAAAACCACTTGTTTTCTCCATGATCTTTCATATATGATAGAGAAGTGTCTAGCATACATACATAACATACATAACAGCCTAAATGATCTCTAACCCAGTCCTCCTCAACCAAGGGAGGGTCCTCCTTTCTCCAGCCTTTCTCTCTTGTCTCCAGGGTCTGGATTTCCTGAGGATTGGTCTGAGTAGTAAAGACTGAAGCAAAGAAGGCATTCAATAACTTTGCCTTCTCTGTATCCTTTGTACTCCATTCAGCTGAGGATTGGGGTCCTAGGCTACTTTTGAAATATTCAGGACCCCAAAGCTTGTACCTGTATCTGAATGGCTGCTTCCTTGGATAAGCTCCGGGATTAGGAATCGCCGGGGTATGTGCAGAAAACTCTCTTCTAGTACTAGAATAATCTGACTGGTAGTTGGGACTCCTGCGTTCCTCTCCCTTTTCTGCCACAGATTTGGCTCTAATCTTTCTGAAGATCCTGTCATCCTGCATGCAGTCTGCTAAGCAAAAGCAGCTAAGACTGAGCTGACTAGGGGAGCAGAGTCAGAAAACACTGAAGGGAGGTAGGAATTGACGGGCTTGTTTTCCTTGCTCAGACAGAGAAAAATGTATTCATGCTGGAAAGCAGATGGGATTTTCAATAATCATTTGGAAATGGAAAAAAAAAAAAGGTACAATTCATCCTATAGCTTGGGTGGGTTGAAAATGTAATTAGAAAGTCTCCATCTAACTGTCACTCCCAGCGGGTTGGCATAGAACAGGCCTTTGTAGAGCAGAGGTCCACAGAGATTAGGGGAGCCCAAGATTCCAGCTCTCTCTTTCGGGCTCGTTTTGCTCTATGCGGAGTCCTGACTGCACCTCTAGGCCATGCCGGCTGCCCCAGGAGCTCTGCTGCATGCAAACCTGGGGCACTGCACTGCTCTTGTCCCTGCACATCCCTATGGAAAGCTGGGCTTCTCCTGTCCTGCTTCTCCTGAAAATAACATGGAGAAGCTGTCTGGCTCCGTGAAGTGAATCCTTTTGAACTGCTGCTGACCAAAGAGCTTCTGTAAAATAGGTTCTCACCCTGCAGCCCTGGCCAAGTGAGTGGTCCTGCAGCTGGTGCAGTGGCCTTCAATGAAGTCCCTGTGCCCAGCCGCCTCACCTGGGCTTTGAGCAGTGTGGCAGAGATGATTTGGCCTTCAGGCCTCTTCACCAGATGGAATGATTTCCCTGGATAGTTTCCATATGTTTTGGTAATAATCTGACAGCTATTCCAGGCTGAGCTGGAGGAACTTTGATACTAAAGCAGCCCTTCTTGCCCAACTGTCCAAGGCAATGTCAGCCTTGGCGGGTGTCCTGCTGCTCCCGGTTCTTGTGGGCACCTCCTTTTTCTCCCCTTTGTGCTCTTCTGGACATCAGCCTCTCTGGAGTCCCCAGAAGAGACTCACACTTGTGCCAGGCGGCCCTGCTCCTGCCTTGTGCACCCTGGCAACAATCCGGTGCCTAAAGAGCTGTGCCAAGAAAGCCGTGAGTGAGGTGCTCAGATTGAACAGTTGTTGCTTCTGAGAAGGAAGGGACCTCTGGGCAGAAGAGAACAGAGTGTCCAAACTGAGCCACCTCTCTTGTCCTTTAAATTCCAGACTGCTAGGAATGGACAAGCTCAGCCTCGCCTGACCCAGGGGGGAAGCTCTGCAGATGAGAAGACCAAATCCTCCCTGGATGCTGAGGGGTTTTGCCCAGGCTAAACTATAACTGCCATGGCCTCCTTCTCCCTTCTTTGCCCTCTGTGTCCTGGCTCCCATCACCCGTCAAGGTCCTTTTGCTGCAGCGTGGCTGCTGTCACCCACCCCAGCTCTCCTGGTGACTGCGCTCCCCCCATCACACACTAAGGGAGTAAGACAGTCCCTAAGGAAATGATGCAGCTGCTGATTTGATTCTAATGGGATGTCTCTGGAAATTGATAGTAAGTACATCTTTTCCTACCAAAGGCAATCAATATTTAAGGCAAAAATCTCTCAGGCAGCCCTGGGAGAGACTTCAGTCCGGTGACTGCTTTGCCGTGAAGCACATCAGCATCACTGCTTTCATCTTCCTTGGGCACTGGATTCCAGAATGAAGCAAAACTGCCTTAGGATTAAAAATAAACAGGGAAATGAAATGAAATGAAATGAGATGTAAATGAATATAAACGAAATGAACGCCTGCTCACAAGGAAGGAGAGGGGTCAGGGGCTGGACTGGCTGGGGAGAGGCTCAGGGAGCAGAGGGGCGGGAGGAATGGCTGGGAGGACAACACAGAATGAAGGAAAAATGAAGCTTGTGCCATGGGCTGGAGGGCTGAGAGCTGAAAGGGCAGGGATGTGGGGAGGCCAGGGAGCTCCCTGTCTCCCAGGCTGGTGACCTCTTCCCAGTACTGGACGCTTGTTTCTCTACGGCAGAGAATTTATTCCTCTCTTTTCCTCCTTCAGGCTCTTGCAAGGCTGCCAATAGGCCCTGACCCTGCTGCCTGTCCTCTTGCACGGATGCTCCGTGCAAGCTGTGCTGCTGGGTGGCAGGCACAGCCCGGGGTGCTGGTTGGGCTCAGCTCGGGTCAAAGCCCCTTCTGGGCTCCCCCCATTCAGTTCCCCACCCCGCTGAGCTTGCTGCGTCTTCTGTGAGCTGGTCTTCCTTTAAGATGGATTAAACTTATCATTACATTTCAATTCCTTTCTGCAATCCTTGTC